ATTCTATCAACCGCAATCACGATCGCTCCGGACTCAATCGAGTTCCGAATGAGTATTTTTTCACTTCGAGACACTAGTAGGAACCGAAGGTGCGAATTGGTAGGCGGTGGGACGTTTGCTTTCGGCGAAGAGCAGGCTGCAACTCGGGGCGACGACAGAAGACTCTACGGCCACCAGGGCCAGGTCCATTGCTAGTCGAGATGGGCTGACTCACCGGACGATACAAACCGCAGCGACCGTGGCGAGTGACAACATAAATGCTTCCGAGAATTCGGGACAGATGCTTTAATTTCTTGAACGGGTTGAGGAAGATACGCTCTCTGAGCTATCCGCACACGCTCCTGCGCACACAAGCGACCGATCGCCCGACGTCGTCTGACAGAGAGTGGTTCAGAAAACAGACCATCCGTCGGCTCGCTCGGAAGTACTTGCAGCTGTCCGCTCAATTCAGGTAGGAGACATCCGACGGATTCAACAAGCGGGAGGCAACCCCTTCTGAGACGCAAGATCGTGTGCGACATCTCACACCTCTCCTAGCAGGCTCTTCCGATATACACGAAGCGTGTTCGAGGTTTCATGTTCGAATCGCTCCCCTACGCGCCTGGAATCAACCTCGCGATCCTCCTCTCCATGAGAAGATTTATATCTTTAAGGATTCTCAATCCTGCCGCGGAGCAGCTTCGCTCCGTGCATTCGAATCAGAGCGAGTTGAGAGAAATACTCGGATGCTCTTAGGAACAGCTGACACGCGCCCCGACTTCCCCAGCCGTTCATGTATTCATAGACGGACGTCCCCTCCCTGGCTAGAAAGTCTTCCTCGTAGTCGATCCATAGGTTTACTGTTTGTTTCCTGCGTCCCCCGTACGTCCAGCCCGCCAGTGAAGCAGCCGTTCCTCCATCAGTCCGCCGCTCTCTTCCCACTTTCAGAAAGCGACGGCGGCGACGGCCGCGACGACGACGCTATACACCAGCTGGGCTTTAAAGCTTAAAGCCCCCAACCCAAGCGGCCCCCTGCCCCGTGTACGTCGATGCCAGATGCAGGACAAGGAGCGACCGTTGACCCACATGTGCTAGACATACATGCTACGTGCTCTGGTCTCTTGTGGATTCGTCGTCACGTCCGGTCGTCGCGCAATGGTTAAAGTGTTTTTTGCTGGAGCGACCATCGACGCATACTACGTCCTGTTTCTAGTCCGACTTTTGTCGTCCGAGCTCCGTAGTCCAACGGTTTTTTGACGGATGACGTCTAGTTTCTTATCGCTGAGCTAACTTCCACTAACGGTCGAGAATCCCGTCGGCCGCGAGGGAAAAATATTCAAACGGATTCGTGTTTCGGTTTTCATGACTTCTCGACGTGGCCCGAGTACAGCCCGACGTCGTGGTTGAAGACCATCGCGAAAAAATCCTTTGTGCCGCGGACGTCTCCGAAATTGAATCGGACGAGGAAAATCCCCGCGGAGCAGATTGGCTGCGCTCATCCCGGGCAGCGATCTGGCGTCGTGCCCGATCTCGTCAGTCTTTCAGGATTCGTACGTGCAGGTGAGTAGCGATTGTACTCTGGAGACCAATCTCCTGAAAACCTAGATCTCGGCTCGAACAATCTTTGCCTATTCCCTAAACGGGAGGGCCGGAATGTTTGCTGAACGTCTTTCGCTTTGAATATAATTCCTCGCTGGTGATGACGTTAGAGGTTATGTTTCTTAGCGGGCTGTCTAAGCTCGTCTGGCTATCTCTGACGATCTTCGTGCTACCGCGAGCCGGACCCCTACCCGTAGACAGGGGATTGGATCAAGAGGGGGCTGGGGAATCAGAGGAGGGCAGGGTCGATCCAGGCCAGGGGGGAGGTTGCTTGGATGCCCCTTCCCTCTCTGTTCGACGACTGACTGTTCACCCCCGTCCAGATCTTCTCCTCATGATTACAGCAGCGCCCGAAGGTTCTTGGAGGGGACTTGAGCGAAAGTTCAAACGTCCATTCGTGACGTCGGCCATTTCGCGGACTTCTAGGCTCTGATTGTGGGAGGCTTCGCGACCGTGATATTCAGTACAGTAGAGTTTGCAATGTGCAAGTATATTAGCTCTTGAGAGTTTCGGTCGTCTTCAGCGGGGAACGTCTGTGCGGAGTTGAACCAGACGAGAATGCGAGGACGAAGTTCGCGCTCTTCGAGCCTATTCCTCAAAGAACGAGCAAAAGACTTGGACCTGGTCTGAACATCTGCTGCGTGAGGGGCCACCGACTAGTCGTCGCAGTCTCTTTTTCTTTATTCGTCGTCGTAGTCAACGTCTCTAACGTCGGGGCGAAAGGTCTGTTTGCTGCTTGGCTGACTGTCTGGGGCTGAATGTTCGTATCGCTCGACACGGCTCTCGTGTTTGGATCCCAGACTCTACATTTCGCTGCGACGATGTCGTTGTTCTCATAGAAACTGAGGAACGACGCTAACTTGCCCTGATACGTCGCCCCTTGACATATCCTTATCGATCGTTCCGAAAAGGTTATGACGACGACCCCAATATACTTCAGTGGAAGAGAAAAGAAATGGAACCGTATCCCAATGACTGTCGTATTGATTCCTTATCTAGGTCTGCCGTATATTTCGGTCGCACCATTGAACTCGACAGAAGAAACATCTCGTAGCGCCATCAGATTTTTCCAGAGGGCACTCGATTCAGAACTTCGCGAAACTCATTTCCTCTCGGTCCAGAATATTCTCGCGAGTCAGAGGAGGACCGTCGAGCCCTGGATATTCCTACGCGGTCAGCAAGCAGCGAGCAGCCTCACCGAAGGCCACCGTTGAGAACGCGTGCCGGATTTCTCTGCGCATCCACATTTTCTTTCATGTGCATCCACATTACGTTTGCAGCTGCTCCTGAGCACACTCCCGAAGACATCTTCGTCGTGACAGCTGCCTCGACCGAGGGCTTTTAAAGCGAATAGCGCTGTGAGTACTTGCTACTCGTTGACCAGGCTCGCTCCGAATATACTCCCATCTCGTGTCGGTGAGGTTTTTCGCGATCTCCGGCACCATCACGATCCAGCATGCAGCAGGAAGAGAAAATGCGCCAAATAATATTGGTGCGATTTAAATGTTCCTCCTGCCTCGGACTCAATGATCGCCCTCGAACCCTCGGCAGGGAATTCTCTGAAGCAAGGACACTCGTCGCGAGACATGATCTACTACCTGAAGTTGTATTCCTTGAAGTCAGGTGAACATCGCGCTCGTATGTAAGAGATACAGCTGATCGGATTCACCTGCCGCCGCCGTTGAAGATAGCCGTTGACCGCAGTCGTTCTCGGAAGACTGTAGGAGGCCGCCCTCGTTTGTTAGCTCGCTTTCGTTTTTCCGTTTATTTAATGATCAGGCGAGGACCGGCACGCGTAGACGTACGACGACATGCCACCACTCCTCGAGAGGAAAGAAACTCCGAGCGCGGCGCGCTGCCGCACGCGTCTCGGCTTCGAAAAACGTATAGCGAAGAACGCTGGCCGTTTTTACGACGAACCGTTAAAAGTTTCGTGGAGTTGGGTCGCGATTTGAAACGTCCGAAGATGGTACGACAGGAATCTTCGACTTATTGGAGTGGATCCGGAGGCTACCAATAAGTTCCGCTCGATTCCAATCGATACATTCGGGCTTCCCCTCTCTGGAGAACTCGAGTTGGCTCGATGCTGAATATTAGCTCAGTTTTCCTCTATGTGCTCTCCGAGGCTCCTCGCGTGTCCAGATTCCGAGATCATATAATCATCTTAGAAATTGGCCTGCTCCTTGATCTACCTCGGAGGTTCAAGTCCATGGAAACAGGATCTCTCCCATGCTCGTTCGAATGCCGTAGCCATTGTCGGTGAGGATCGACATCATGTTTAGGACCGCTGAAACCATATTTCCTTGATAATTCTCTGAGCTCAGATTGACTCCCAATCCCGAGAATTCTTGACGATTAAGCTGCATATACAATGCGAAAATAAATTCTAGAATCCCGAATTCTTCGTTCGTAATTCGCAGTGTCGAGTTTCCTCGACCTAATTTAGATGCGTGTCCCGCTGTGTGAGTAAGCTGAAGAGCTGAAGAGTGTCGTATATCAGACGGAAAATGAATGAGCGCTGGACTCTACGGCCTTTGCTGGCCATAGCGACAAGTACACACGGAGGTCATGTATCTCCTGAAATGAGCCGCCCTGTACGTTTCGGATGCGGATATGAACAAGAAGCTTAGTGCAGTCTCTGTGGGAGCAAAGCCCCAACGGCCCAATATTCCTGAAAGTGATTCGCTTCAAAGGCAAGTGATTTCGTCGGAGTTTTCCCCTCTGGGAGATCAGCGACCCTCTTGACCCGATTCTGATCGACCTCTTCCACGGAGTATTCTAGCAGGAGACTTCCCCGAGCGACCCGGGACGAGAGTCCTGGGCATTGCCCAGCTGAATCTGCTGGTTCCGCCTTCCCCTACTCCATCTCCAGAACTCTACTCGGGACAGTATATTTTAAGGTACATTGCATGGCTTCGGAGCCTATGTTCGACAAGAGAATCGTGGAAGACTGCATCAGTGAGCGGAGCAATCGATTTCTACAGTATATTCCAGGATCTGTCGCAGGCGAAGCAAATAGCTGATAAGCAGAGCTCATCATTCGCGTCCATAATTCATGATGAACATACAAACTGGCGATTGCATGGAATACACTGAACAACACGAAAATTTCCATTTCCATTCGTGGGTAGAGGGTGGATAGAGCGGGATGCATAATGTCTCATCAGAGCTGACGCGTAGGGGAGGCAGGACGCGGGAACCCATATCATCCCAAATGATATGATATCGAAAGACTCATATCATATCATATACATATAAGGCGTGCTAGCCATGAGAAACGGTAAAGCTAGTATATATGTTTATATACCTATACCTATACATCAAATCTGTATCATTCCTCAAAGTAAGTGCTCAAAGATAATAATCAGTCACTCTAGCATCGCTATCATGAGGTTCAACCGCGGAAAATGCTTCTTTTGAAGTCGGAAAGAGAAACTCATTTATTTAGAACTGACCAAACAGAAATATGTTTGTTCTCCTATATCCGTTCGTTTTAATTGTATACTATATGTACACACATACGTTAATCGTCTCTCTCGAAATCCACATCGTGATATCGGTCGATTTTCGAACGCGTGCGTCTCCTTCATAGTGCTGTGTTTCTTTGGAGTTGGATCATTGTATCGGTGACTAATTCGAAAATTCATAAAGAGGTTCCAGATCATAAACATTACGGCCCAAAATATCACGAATCATCGCGAAATTCCCGATCTTTGACTAAATCTGCACCGCAGGATCTATAAAGCTCACACGTTCGTGAGGTATTTTTCCAGCAGCTGAACGAGTCGTACGAGGAAAAGACTATTTCACACAATGCAAGGCGCTCGTCACTAATGGCTCTGTCCGATTCGTGCGATCGATCGAATGTCGACCTCATTCATCGTTTCAACCAAATATATATATAAAACTCTCCACAAAAGCTCGCACAAATCGCTCAATCCTCTCATAATGATAACATTAGCTTTCCGGGTCGCATTCATCTCTGATTCCTGAAGATATCAGAGCCCATGTGCGGGGACCGACATCCATTGTTTTTCCTCTCAAACCATTCGAGTCATCCCGCAAAATAGTCATTCGCTCTCGACTTTCAAACCGGATCTGAATCTCATTGGTTGTTACAGTATCCATGCGACCTTGGTTTTCCTCTTCTTTCAGAAGAAAGACTATTAGATATCATCAGCCTATAAGGATAAAATTCAAACGGAACCAACAGACTCAGAAGTGTCTTCTCCGAGAAAGCAAACCCTCTGAGGTGTCGTCCATCGAGTTCGGAAGAATTGACTGGGTTGCCCATCGTGATGGGGAACGTTTTCGCTCGAATCGGTAGGAACGTTGATTTCAGTCTTCTTTCTCGTCGGTGCTCGACGACTCATCTTCGCTTCGAAGATCTTTTATCTGGAAGAGGGAAAGCGTGTCAATTTCCGAGTTGATCAAAACATCCGCGGAGGGTCCCTCGTGAGGGTTGCCGGTCTCAAGCGCATATAACCGGAGCGCAGCATTCTCAATCCTCATGGGTCGCTGGACTCTACGCGACAAGATTGACAGAAACTTACACCCTGATTGCTCAAAGCCTGGATTACGACCTTGACTATGAACACGGTCCAGATTATGTGCAGCAGTTGAAGTGCGAGCAGAAGACTGTTGAAGATGTAGTAGGCAGAGAACATCTCGATGACAAAGGTCGCTTGATACGCCGTCGAATAGATGACTCGATAAGGATAGAGACCCAGCCGGGAAACCACCCATGCCAGGGTGAAGACGACGAATAAAGAGTCAGCTGCCTTTTGCATCTTGAGGTATTTGACAACTTTGGCCGCTTCAAGGGGTACATCAGCGAAGTCGTGCAGAATCATCACCTGATGGATACAGAAACAAGAAGGTGAGATTACTATCTGCTTTTCCCCAACACTCTGACAGGGAGGACTACGCGGGAAAATTATGACGGAATTCTTCTAGCGGAACAATCATTCCGAAATGACCCACCAATGTGCCAATTCTGGTGAGATTACAGGTCCACGAAAGGGTCAGAAGCAAGATGGTGACTATGTGGTGTACGAACATTTCCCAAAAGTCTTTTCGCTTGACGTCCATGAATTGAGAGAACATCAGCGATATGTAGAACCCTAGCTCAATCATATAGTACCACCGAACATCCGCGGTGGTATTGTGATGAGGGAAATTGTACCTGAAATCATTCAATTGCTTTTAAATTCGCTCGAAGCAGAGACCTGGATCTCGTATTCGTCCCGAAGGAGAATCTGAACGTTGGTGACGTGTAGCGACCTTTGGAATTCCTTTATTTGGATTGCCGTTCTCCATAGCGTCCGGCCATGGATCACCTACCAACAGTGCATCGTATCCCATAGCCACGGTTTATCAGAAAGGCACCACAAGCCGTAGCAAAAGACGGAGGCATAGAACGTGCCTCTCCACGCCGATTCCGCGAGTTTGTCTAAGGTTGAAGGCCTTTCACAACGTGTCCTTTGTCTCCACCATCTCTGGATCTCACGCTCCGAGCAGTCCAGCTGCTTGGCGATCCCAGTGACCTGGAATGAACAAAGAGGGTTTTCAAGCGCTCTTTCAATCGGATCCCCAAGATCGGGAGGTTTCGGGGGATATACTGTATACTCAACGATTCAATGCGGATACCGTCGCCCGCCTGCTGCCTGCCGTCTGAATTCATTACCGGAGCCATAATTCGCACTAATGCAATTCTTGTCTGATGTGGAGTGGCGCCGATCGAACTCATGCATGAATATGGGATAGCGCCCTTCGATGAACAAGGTCCCGTCATTGTGGCAATCTTTAGGAATTTGAGGTGAAACAAGAGGTAAAATCCGCCATTCCGCCAATTTCCCAGCGGGTACTCTATTATCCCAGCTGGATTCACAGCGCTGCCGAAGTTTCACTCAGATCCATTGGAGCGACGACGCTCCCGCTATCTAACAGTGAACAATGGCTGTCACCGACAAACAATTTGATTCGCTAGACACATTTCCGGACATCGTTTATTGGCATATTGCCTCTCTTCCGAATCCAGGTAGCTGTCGAAAGCTACTCGTCACTTACGGTAAGACTCCGTTCTTCAACTAGTCCGCTAGCATGAGCTGCGTTCGGCAGGGCATTACGGCAAGTGAGCCACGTCGTAGGAGAAAGCAAGGCGAGACTATCAAGATCGCCAGAATCTACGAAGTGCTCCGTTCTTCGACAATTTGACGAGATTTCTGACGAGACCTTTACGCAATCTTAGTCCGATCGCTTCCCACAGATTGGACGTGGAAGAAAAGTACCCGGAGGAACGTCGAACGATCTCGAGATCGCGATTTCTCTTCCGAGGTCAGCAGTTCCGAAGACGAATCGACCGGGTCTCGAGGAGCTCGGAACTTCATACCCGCGAGCAGGATACCAGAAATTATGACACGCCTGAGGGTATATTCTCATCAGCGTCCGTATTGACGCGGAAGCAGACGGCTACGTATCTTTGAGTTCGTGACTCAGAACGAAAAACGAGTTCCGCCCGCGGGCTCAGGAGAGCCTCTCGCTGTGGCCTTTGTTTTCGCCGAAACGTCGATCCGTCTCGAGACGCTGTCGTCGCTTGATTCCGCCAGGAGATAGTTTTTAAACGTCTGAAGCGCTCGTGGATCGATAGCGACAACAAGCGACAATTACTCGCACGTACTCGAGGGATGACTCGTTGCTTGCTCTCTGAAGATTACGATCCAGCTGAGATTAGAAATATACTCACAACTTCACGAGAAGCTTTATGACCGTGTTTGAGGAAAGCTTTCTCGAGGATTGGGTCTTTTGATAGTCCGAGCGTCGGTTTCTTTGGTCGTCCCTTCAAGCCATAGTGTCTGCCAAGGGGCATGAAGATCCATCTGAAATCGGAAAAAAACTCTTCCCGTCAGAGCAATTGATATGAGTGTTGCCAGATGGGCGGCACGCTGGGAGTTATTTCATTTGTGAATAGAGAGTAATCAGCACATGTCAAAATTGTCGAGAGCAGCGACAGCCATCAGCACACGGAGGGAGCAGTTCTGCGTGAGTTCTCGCGAAAGCCGGATTCAGTAATTCTCGAAACAGAATTAATGATTCCATCTGGTCTCCGAGCCCAGTCGTATGACCATTAAATAGTGACAATGTCGCGGGGATTATCTGACTGGGCACGCTGCACAAATCACGGATGTTCCCGAGTTTGTCTCCGCAAGCTTTTGGAGCTCCGAACAACTCCCCATTTCTGAGGGATGGGTCACGGGTCTTCACTAGCGGGGGATCGCGCTCGGAAAACTCCTCTTCCGAAGTCTGCTAGACGACGGAGGAATGGAGAACACCGACTTTTAAACCGTAACGAAAAAATTGGAGAGCGCTCGGTAGATTCCAGCCAATCGGGGAACCGTTCTCGGGAACGGCTCGTCGTCATAGGCCAAGGTCGATCGTATTTTGAAAAGTAAGCATCGATGAATTCCCGAAAACTTTAGAAATCCCTCATCCTTCTCCGCCTCTCATGAATTCCGGGCAATATTTTCTGCGAAGCGGCGCTCCCATCCTTGTCGGATTGCATAATTATTTCATTAACGCGTCGCTCGCTACCGTTCGACGGAACTTTTCCCGTTGTGGCTAACGACGACCAGAAGATGTTACATCAAACGAAAGGGAAACCGCGGACGCTTCACACGAGCGCCTCCGAAAACGAGCAAAAAAAAAATGTTGTTCTTCTCCCTGATTTTTCTACTCAACAAGCCACACGTTTATGACCCGTGGCGAAACGACAAAAGTTCCGTCTCGTCGGCGTCGATCTTTGCGAAACCACAGACGATTCGGAATCTTTTGTCGAATCTTGAGCAATACTTTAACGGAATCCTCGCATTAGACGAGCTTACGAATTTTGACAAATGCCAACGACAGAGCCTTGGTAGGAGTCATTCGGTCTTATTTCGGAAATCTTAACTAGCCTCTCGAAACAGGGCAGATTCTTTCGGAGAATCCTGCTAAGCTCCTCGCGGAACGTGCCCGAGGAATGGTATCGGATGTTTCTCGGCGAATGAAAGGTCGAGGGAAACGGTGAAGTGTTTTCGAAAAGTCCCTGAATGAGGAGATTGGAGTTTACATTAAAAAAGATATCCGTGTAAATACAGCGGACCTGAGTAAACATGCGCACCATTCCCAAGCAGGATGAAATCTCCCGAGAATACAAAACAAGTGCTGAATCTCATTCCGGCCGGCTGGCGGGGACAAATAGCGGAAATTCTGCTCGTTTATCGGTGAGAAGAGTCCAAGCAAACAATTTTTCCGTGGGTTCTCAAGTCTTCTTCTCTCGTTTCTTTCTGCTCTCGAGAATCCGCTTTCGGTGAGATGTCTCACGTTCACGCCTGCTGTCGACATAACAGCGTCGGAATTCGTCGTCGTTGTCGATCGGCGTATCACTACGTAAGGTAAGACCGTGCTTAAGATCATGAATTATGGATGGACTTCTGCCATTGATAAATCGTCTCGGCAAAGTGTCTGGATCCATCGGAGCCGACAGAACCCTTTGGATCCGTTCCAAGTAGGTGCATCGGTCCAGCACGATGAGTCCTTCCGGAGCAACCCGTGAGTGTTGCATTCTAGAGCTCGCAAGGGACTCGCAACGGATGAGCTTTTCGAATTAGCGTCATGGAATACTTTGGAGCTCGCATCGGCGGATATTGGGGATAGGAATCACATCAGTCGATCTGAAACATGCGGGGATCGACTTGTGATCACGTGTTACAGCGGTCACAATCGAATTCTGCACGGGCTCGAGCAGTACACGCAATATCGAACAGCAGTCATTCGTCTGGCACCAGGGCCGCATCGATTCGTAATACAACCTGTTGGTACGCGTACGATCGCTTGTACCCACGGCTGGTTGCCGTCCAATACATTTCGGTTCATTGAGAGCCGCCAGATATTCTGGAATTCGTAAATGTCTCTTGTTTCTGGGTCACTTCCACTTCACAGGAGAGGAGCGAGCATATCGCAAATCACGTTAGGGGAATTTTTTTGGTCGGAGCCCCGATATTGACCATGTCTGATCGAGTCTGGGAGAGGCTCATAAGAAAGAGTCGGGGTAGCATCTGAGGCTGAATCGGAGGACGATAATTATGAGCGTTCCAGGCTCTCCGGGAATGTCGATAGAGTAACAACGGCTGTAGCATCAGCGACTTAATATCTTGTTGGATCAATATTCGGTGAGCGAATTAGTTCTTCCGAGTGGGCCGGCCGTCGGTCCGGCTTTGCGTGAAGGCTCTCGCTCCATAGCAAACTCGGGATAGGACTTCAGGTTCATTTCATCGATGTATTGAATTATGGAGGGGCGTACCCGAATACTGCCTCGCTGGAGTTGCAAGAGCAGCATGTCAGGCAAGATTCACATCTGCAGCCGAAAAGAAGAAGCAGCTGGTTGCTCCGGAGAAAATGACCTTATCCAGAGAAGTCAGTCGCCGACGGCAAACATTTCATCCGATCGTCGGCTCGTTTCCGAAATGACCATGACATCAATACTTAAAGACACCAAAACAGAAACACCTCCCCCGGTACAAGCGACGTATCGCTTCAGTTCTACGGCTCTCGGCGTTTTTATCTATGAAGATAATCCCGAATGATCTGTCTTACGATGGATAAGTCGAGCGGGATCTAACAACAGCATTATTGTCGCTTCGTTCAAACTCTGCCGTAATGATCGAGTTTCGAGTCGAGTGGAACACTTCTTCGGCGTTTCATCTACGATCAGCTCCTTCCTAGATCCGAATAGAATTTCTCCGGTTGTCTGTGTTTACGAGCATCAAGTTCCTTCGCCTCAGATGACCGCTACGCCAGCTTCGCGCTCGTTTTGGGCGGGAAACTCTTCGGCGGACCGGCTCCGGCGCTTCTGCGATCGACACGCGCGGAGACATATCCCGTTGTTCGCTCTTTCGAAAAGAAGTTTCGAGCGGGCTCTCCTGCCCAAAACCTCTTGCCTGAAACTCCCGAACACAAGCGGGCGTGGGCGGTAGGCGGTAGCTCGGAAGTTTGTCATATTTTCCCAAGAACGCTCCGGCTACGAATGACGACGTCTCACGATACGAGAGTGGGTGTCAGAACAACAGACTTGGACCTTATAGTGGAGCATTGTTTCCCAATAGTCCGATTGAGCAGACTATCGTGTTCGGACTTGCCCTAGAAAGCGAAACTAGTGTTGAATAATTACCTTTCGAACGCCATTCTGACGAAGAATAAAACCACGGCGACGTAAATGGAGTCGTAGAGTTGTTCAATTTGGGCGTAGTTCACCTTGGAAGTGTCTCGGATGTGCGCCCAAGTGGTGCCGGGTGGGAGCCAGACGTCTTCGTTCCAAAACCATTGACTGAAGGCCGATAGCTTTTCCTTCAGCGCCATTTTCTGATTCAATTTGCACTGTCAACTTGCTAGGCAGCAGCGACCGGATCTTCAGCCGGAGAAATCGTCGAGAAGCTCTTCCAGGTCGAGAATCTCCAAGACGATGGCTAGGCGGGTGGACTCGTCGGTCGGCGGAACGCTTATGCGCTCTATTGACTGACTGGCTGGCTGGCTGACTGACTTACTAAATGACTGCGGGCTAGATTGACGTTCCACAGCCGACCGCACAGTCAGCAGCGGTGGGAAAACAGTTCGTATTCTCCCGTAATCCGAACTTCCTCGGCACGACACTCGGCTTATCCGGAACTTTGCACTGGAAACGCACACACACGCACACGACGGCGAGTAGAAGCAGACAGTGCTGACAGAGTGATGTACTCGATTCTCTCACTGGTCGAACAACTGACAGATATAGCGACAGGCAGCCAGGCGGACCGACTGATAAATCGCCGCCGCCGCCGCCGGACAGACTAATCGATCGACCAACACCGTGAAAACGATGCCCCGAGAGGATCAGCTGATTGTGACAGCAGCTGGCGAAACCTCGGCTTCCCGGTGTGCCGTTCGGTGCACAGCGTCCGCGGCGGAGTCTACGGTCAACCGAATGCGAAGGGTGCGTGCTGCTGATGGAGGGTCGCACGGCGCCTTCCTTTGGGTTTCTCTGCGGCTGCTGCCTTAACTGAGCGCTGTGGAGCCGCAGTGGAAAGTCGTTACAGCCGTGCTGGGAGAGGAGGACTGGCGCCAAAGTTTCAAAAGGGAGATCCGCTCCCAAGACAGTACGGGACTACCCGTCGAGCTCCTCGTCTCGCTGAGAGGGAATTTTTCCGCGGCCGTGGACTCATTCCGATGGAGATTTCCTCCACGTGTTTCGGGTATTTCGGCCGACTTGACATCATCGAATTAACATGGAATCGAGCTCCGGGGGAAGCGTTCGAACGTGGCTGGATTTATGTTGGTCCGTTGCCGCTTGGACCGAACGGCTCTCTTCGGGGGTCTGACACGTTCGGGTGGAGTTCTAATCACCCTGGGTGGGGTTCCCAGTCGCGGCCGAGAGTGATTCTCAATTCTATTTTCAAAGAGGGAATATTCAGACGTTTTTTGTCTTCTGCTACAGGTCCGCGGCTGAATGCGCCAAGGCGCCTCCACGATTATTAATAATCGATACCTGTAAGAAAATTGCGTCTTGGCCTGGTGCCACAACTGTGCTCACAACTCACAACTCTCGGAGCAGTCGCGTTTCTGCAATCAGATCGGGCTTTCGTGACGATTTCTGAGGTGAGGACTCTCGAACTTAGAAGCGATTCCGGAAGTTGCTCTGGTGATCGATTCATCCTCCTCGGGACCGAACGAGGGACATGAATGCTGAGCACGTACGGAGCTCATGTTTCATTCTCAATGTACGTCAGCAACACGATCACGGATAGTTGCCTGTGATTGGCCTGATTTCCGGTGTGAATGGACCGGGAAATCGTAAAATTCAGTAAATCATGTATTAAAGCCTCGGAAGCCCCCCGAAAAATGCTGTGCTCGGCAAAATCGGAGCCATATACCCCGGGGAGCAGATGATAAGCCTCAGCGAGGGGCACGCCTGGCTCAGCTGGTGCAACGCAAGGGGGAACCCATCGACCCAGTCCAGTCCCCACCCCACCTTCCGATCGAAATTCAATCTTCGCTGAGCAGTCTGCAACACCGGGCGGCGAGACTTCAAGATCTCAATCGTTACTGTGAGAGCGTGAAACTAATTAATGACCTCCCTTATCTGATACGTGGATCTAAGAGAAATCCGCTTCCGAGTCCTCTTTGGGGCTTCTTTCCAGTAGGGAAACGTGTGCTCGGGTGGCGTCTCCTGCAATCGTTGATTTTCCGTCCAAGATAAAACCTGGTGGCGGAAGGGATCCCGAGATTGAAATCGAGCTAAAAAGATGAAATCTCGCGATCGCGGACGAGGTCAAGGAAACGGAATCTCCGGATAGGGATCAAGGTCAAGGAGATAGAATCTCGGAATAAAGACGAGCCCCAGGAATCGTGAGAGCCTCTTCCACTCCGAAAATCTCTCTGATACTGCTCGAACTCACGGGCTGAGCGTCGGGATTGGGAACAGGAGCTCAGCTTGAGAAAACCAAGGGCAGACGTCTAAGCAATGTCTGGTGCTCATTTCTTCGTTTCTTTGACGTTCCACCGGTGGCCGTGTACCCAAGCTGCTGACTCGCTATCAGCCATGAGATCCGGCCGTTCTTGGATACCTACGGAACAATTGTCTTCAGGCTAGAAAATCGACGAGATGTGGCAGGGAGACACGAAATCGGCTCGGATTGAATGACGAAAATGCTAAAGGCCGCCGCTCCGGTTTTTCTCGCCGCTATGCATTGATACAGGAACACATGTTTTTCTTGTGAGCGCAACAGGATCGGCTGACGTTCAACCTGGGATTCACAATTCAGCAAGAAGAGATACCGACTCGAGACTATGGTCAGAGCTCGATTGGATAAACGCCCAGTTAAGCAAAGATTTCAATTGGTAAATGAGCACCAGTTTAGCGAACATTTCGATTTGGTGAAGCATCGTCCTGGCCCCGACCGTCGGGGGCGCGATTGTGGATACTCTCGAAATAGTAAACCGCTCGCGATGGTGAACATATTCAAGAGTCATCAGCGTGTTTACTGTCATCGCTGTTTTGACCGTATATCAATTCATGGCGACCGAACGTATCCCGTTCGAACGTATTCATGGCGACCGAACGTATGTCCATACGTTCTGAATTAGCTGAGCAGATGCCAAAGTGCTCTGTGTAGTACCCTCAGCTGCAACGGACGGAAAGCTTCCCTTGATTAAAAATCAACAATCGCGTGTCAGAGGCTGCTCTGATGATATTCAGCACGTGCATCACACAGTGTTGGCAAGTGTTCCGGAAGCGGCCCGGGGAGCCCTTAGCGGAGTCTGTGAAGAAATCGCGATCGATTCCGATGTATTCACGGGGTGGATCTCGCGAATCTTCGCGGACGATTTTTGCCGAGCTCGAGGTTTCATATTGTCGGGTTCAGAGGTCCACCGGGTTTTCCCGGACAACCCCCGATTACTCCCGGTTGGAGCTGCCATCGTGGAGTTCTCAGACGGAGGCATCGGCCCGTTGGTCCTCGGAGCTCGCAGAGTGGGGCTGGAACGAAGAGTGGACTGATCGGGGACTCGCGTTTTTCGTGTCAGCCCCCAGGTCCTACGCGCAATGTTTCAATCAGTTATAGAGGCAGCATCGATTCCGACGGTATCCGAGAACCTATGATTCCTGAAAGCCATCATGCTCTGAAACTTTGTCTGAAACTCGCTGACTGCGATCATCTCAGAGTGTCACCCAAGCGCATACCGGTCTTGGTGAATCTGTGCCACTCGGGCCTTTTCGACATATTTGACTCACAAACTTTTCGTTTCCGAGCAGAATCTCTTCCTCTCGTACCGTGTACTCATTCCCTCTCTTTCGAGGGCTATCCTTCCATTTCCCAACACTTCCTCGCGGCGCGCGGCGTTGCTCTCAGGTAACCGTTCCTTGACTTCTTGTTGACTCTGCCTCAGAGACCCTTCTGCGTTCTTGATAACACTACGAGGACAAAGAAATTGCGCCATTACTGCTCGCTGCACCCAGCAACATGTTTTCCCATAATTAATCCGCACTCATTTGTAAATAATCGACATATGTCCGAAAGTATCTGTTGTGAAATTAGCAAACATACAAACAAACATCACCATTCGTCTTGTCTCTCAGCTCATCCTCCTCTCAGAGGCCGAGATCGCCCTCAGAACAGAGGGCATGCGATCAATCATTTTACGCCTCTCAGAGGAGAGGAAAGGAGTTCCTGGGGGAGGGCGCCGAGGAAGCTACGCATCGCAAGCCTGCCGAAACTTTCCGGTGCCTGCCTATATTAAGACATCGGCCTCATAGAGCCTCATTATCTCGAGTCCTTGCCTCCACCCTATCAACATCATTGACATTGACCCGTGTAGAAGGTCGACGATTCAATCAAGCAGGATTTTGGAGACAGAGGCTCTCCCCCTCATTTTCTGTCGTTCTGGGCGGATGTAGAACACTCCTCAATCCGTGCCGTGCGCTTATGAAAGACCCGAATGTGATTTCCAGCCCCGCTTCCTGAGCACTAACTGGAACAAAAGCTCCCAGCCCCGATGACCGGGGCCAGCATGACTTCCTTCCGCGCCCCGCCGTCCTCCGGCCAGAGCGAGACGATCTCTGGGGCCCGGAGCGCGGAACCCGGGCACCGGACCGCAAGTTTAGACTCCGACTGACAGAATTCCTAGGACTCGCCCGGGACACCATCGGGTCCCCGGAAGACACATACCTCTGATACTGATAGTCGCCAGAAAGATTCATGGGGTTCCTCTGGTAATAATAAGCTGGTTTCGTGAAGCAATTCTCCGCACGATATAAGGTCGAAACGCTCAATATGATGGTGGGAGCTGTCTGTCGGCGATTCTGTGAGGAGGATTCGCTCATCATACTTCCTGGTGACCGCCTCTGATCCAGCGATTGTTTTGCTTCCCTTACTCACAGGACGATCAACGCCGAGACGACTTGAGCATTCAATCGTTTCTGGCCGGCGCGGCGTCTGAGATCATTTCGCGCTTCGAGTGAATTGACGGCAGCGCTCGATGGTCCGCACAGAATAGTTTGCCGAGCAAAATCGATCACACTCAGCTGCATCTAGGGTCGAGTATGACGAAACGATTCACTTTCGGCGGACTCGGAAGGGACAATCCATTATTTAAATATAATATATGGAAGACGCTCCATCATAGACGTAGCGACAAAAATCGAAACGCTCCTGCGAGAACACGTGTTTATCCCGTCATCCTGACGTAGAAGGAACCTCCACGAATATTTTTATACATTTGGCAGATCACGTTCGGTCACGCTGCAACGACCTCCGATCGGTGAGCTGTCATTTTAGAGCTGGCGTGCCGGAATCTGCTACAGCCCTCCCTCCTGGCAACGTTGCATTTTGCCGGAGGATGAACTCTATACCTCAGACTGCTTACAAATTTTGTTTCTCAGAGATAGAGACCATCTCGGCGACGAATTTGTGGCTTCCGTTTCATTGTGCTTTCGGGGCAGTGTTCTCGAGGTGGACGATTTTAGTTTCGAGGATCGCGAACTCTGGTAGGTGGTTGGCCTCCGTTTCAATTGACGCAGCACCTCGGGATTCCCGAAGCAATACAGGAACGATACTACGCATCCCTACCGAAAGAGGAAGCTTAGTTTCTAAGCTCGATAAGTCGTAGCAGCTCAGGATCCCAGGGAATATACAATTGTCATTTACTCCGTGAAAGCAATCCCACCTGGAAGGATGTGAAGAGCTGGTCCACGTAGAACCAGACGATTTCCACTCTCGGTGACAAGAAGTTCGCTAAGAGACTCATGGCGAGCAGCACCAGGTAGTGGGACGCCAGCAAAGGTATCAAAATCAAGGACGCTCGGAACCACTCCCTGTACAGTCGCATCGAGTCGGTACACATATTGATGGGCAAAGAGTTAGGAGGACAACATCCGGTATTCATTTCCGGATAACGGAGTGGGAGGGACGATTCTCACAGAGAATCTGTGAGAATCTGTGGGCGCTTACCGATACGTGTGCCTTCTATTCTGAGGCTGAATTTCCGGTCTCCGAACACGTCGCCAGAGCGTGAAAGTTATGCCAAGGAACAAACAAAAGTTCAAGAGGATCGCTATGGACATCGGCACTTGCAGAACCAACAGAATGTAGATTGACTCATTAGTTGTCCAACACCTACCGATGAGAGAAAAATATCTCCTGAGAGATTCAGTCCACGATAATCCAGGTACCTACGACGGATAAACCGGATCTTCCAGCATCAATCACTTAGCACAACTATTATTGTCATACTAACAGTCGGTTTTCCAGAAAATAACGGAGGAGTGCCCATGGGATCACGAAGAGCAAGGGACTCACTGGAAGTTTCAGATGACTCATGAAGAGACTCATCCCCACAGAGTTCGAATGCTTCACCCCAAAACACGATACATACGATGATTCCCGAGTTACAGATTCGGCGGGAAGGGAATTGCATTCGAGATATGACAAAAAAATTAACTCACTCCAGGCAGCAATCACGGCTCTCGAACTCAGGGATGCTTTGCAGGAACTCGAATGGATGGCGCGAAAGACCAATCTGTGAAGGTAGATCCCCTCTGCAAGTATCCATGAATGGTTGGCCAGAAGCGTATATTGGAGGAGCACTAAAAAAGTTTTGCACCAGATGCACTGAAATAAATGATACATATTCGTTATTACATCTTTCGCTTCATCTCTGTGAAATGTCGATCGGACTCAGAATATTGAGTGGGCAATCGATGAAATCATGATTCTCATCGCAATATAGGAAATTGGATTTTCTTGACTTGCTTCTTGGTTTGCTTGCAGTTCCTTCCGGAAACCGACTCCAGAAATGAAGAAGTAGTCTTTGGCAAGAATTATGACCGCCCGGAAAATGTACGATAAAAAGAGTTGGCAATGGAGCTTGTTTCTCGCGCATCGGAGCCTCCTGAACGATAGGAGAAATGGGAAACTTTAGCAATGCTTCCAACGGCAAACTCTGTCATCGAATGCAGAGTAGTGGCAGAGGAGGGTATTGGGAGAAGCACCAGAGAACTGAATACTCTAGGGGAAGGATCGAGAATTTGGGAACGCACCGAAAACTGGAGAGAATAATCAGCGCCGAGAGAAGTAGCAGGAAAGACGTCGAATATCCCAATCGACTGATGACTTTCACCAACGGAATGTGAGTCTATCGGAGAGACGAGAGGGTCGGGAAAAATTCTGCTACCTCGGGAAGAACTCAGGTCATATGCAGTTGATGCTCCATAATACCTGGTAAAGTTTTATGAGACTGAGCTGTCGTTGCTTAGAGGCGAAACATCGTGAGAAATCGCTGTAGCTGGCGTTGGGGGATGTCCCGTGCGAGTTCTGTCCATTTGGAACGCACAACCGGATCACGTCCTCTATTAGATGATGAGTTGACAATGATTACGATGTGACCGAGACCGCGATGATACATAACGATGACAGATCGACTCCGGCAACTCACGTGTAGTGTCGAGATTATTGAGAAGGTCCGGGCATTTCTGAGAGCTCACCCCGCTCTTCATGGGCTCCCAGCACAGCAATCCGTCCCAGACTCGAGGACACCAGTCGTCAGTGTTGCCGACTATGGTCGTGAATTAGAATTTGGTGATCAGTCGTGATTCGTGATCATATCTAGGTCTCGTTGTGCTCTGGACATTAGATAGGGTGGAAATGTCTCACCAGCAGTATTCTGAGCGAGCTCAAGCTCTCTCAGGGTCTCGCATTCTCGCATTCGATCGAATAGGTGTCTCTTGAACATGTTTCCAGTTCCGCTATGCGGGTCGATCACCTGTTGGAAGCGTGTCCTCGTATTCTTGCTAATGGAATGGGATCTGAAGCCAGGACTTCTTCTCGTAACGATTTGTGTAACGGTAGCCAGACCGGTCGCGTCAGGAAGAGTATCATGTACAGGAAGTATTATTTGAGCGTGAAGGAGGAGGAAAGCTATCATCACTGGCTGTCTGCCGCTCCGAAGGAGGAATTATTTCTGCATCTCGGATGCGTACGCTTATGGCGGCTGGCATCGCTCATGAGGAGGTTGCCTCCACTCTCGAGCGCAATGGCGATCCCCTGCTGGAGAGAATTCACTCATTCTAGGAGTAATTACAAACTTTTTGGTATTGGCACTCGCGGCGCTAAAGAGGGCATCCCTTCTCTAGATTGCCCTAAGTTCGTTCTCGCCCTCTATGTTATTACATTGGGCCATTCGCTCCCCGAGAGGTTCTCCTGTGAAGACCAGATCAACACGCACACCTGGTCGGTAAACATGTGCTAATATCGACTCCGGCTTGCGGGGATGCACAGATGAAGGCGGAGTCCTCCGAAGCCTGGACAGGTTTCTCGACGATTCCTTTTCTCTTTATCTTGCGAGGAAGAGGGCGAATGTAGATGCGAACCAGCTCCCCAGAGAATGCTTCGAGTTGCTTCTTCATGGATGGAATCCTGAATATTACGCTGCGTGGAGAGCGTTGCCAACCGGACGCGGAATTGAGGAACGCTGACGAACTCAAGTCGAGCATTAAGCAGGGCGTTATTTCGCTGTCTTGAATTGCGTGCTCGTCGTTTCCGACTAATAATTCGGAGAACGTCTGAAACCCGACTCCCATGTCGGTCACCCGGATGTATCAGTGAAGAAAAGGGCTAAAAGCAACTAGGCAAACTCCGGCGTATGTTTGTAGATGCCCGTCGAAAAAGCTGGATGTGCGTGGATGGATGCACTGCTAATCATTTGAAGTGTTGAGGAGCTTCGGAGGTATGATCTGATTGACAGACAAGGTCAGAATGTCCGCTTTGAGGCCTGATTGACTTGCCCCTCGCCCCTCCCCGAATGAAGAAAGGCTCATTGACGCTGCATCCTGAGCATGTGCGTGTTTTATGCGAACATGCGAACGATGCTGAGGCAGAAGACTCGAATCTCTCGGAATGCCAATGCTGGGAGCATGTCCGACTTCGTCGAGATTCGGAATCTGGAGGCTATTACCATGAGCTCTCGGGGCTCCTCGGGCATCTCTGCTCATGCTCTCACGGTAAATGAACGTATGTCAGGTGCTCGCTCCATCGATGGATCTCATTCGGCGATGTGTGAGGATAAGCGAAAGGGAAAATATCAACGATCTTACCACGTTTTCGAGGAAGTCCATGATTGGACCAATGGAACGGCACTTTCCTCGTGGGCGAACTATCGAAACTCAATACGCGGTCACGCGAACGGAAAGCCTTCATGTCGTATCGTCGCAAACGGCCACAGGGGAATCCGGAGCAGCACGAAATCCATGGAGTCGCGTTCACGGTTCGTGATTGATTCCAGAGCGACGAATGCTTTGAAGCCCAGAAGGCTTGTACCGAAGTTGCCGATGAGAAAAGCCCTTTCCCTCGGAGGCTACGGGACCTTTCCCTAGCAAATCTCGCGTCAAAAAATCTCATCATGATATCGGTCCGACCCAGATGACGGGAATACCTCGGAACAATCTGCAAGTACATGAAGTCTTTTTCGAGACGGCCGCTATCGATGTCAAAGTCTATCAATTTAGAGGCCGCTCCGCTTCCCGGGAACGATCATTCGATTCGATTACACCAGCCTCCGAAACTCGCTCGCATTTCCCGGCATCATGTCTCGCTGAATTCGGGAATGCTCTGGGGGGGAATTGTTCCCAAGGACCTGGGAGAGTTATTTCATTGAGGACGGAGCTGATGTCATAGTATCTTGGGACTGGGGAGCACTCTAGCTCGCGGAAAACTCCCCGCGACAGCTCTTCTCAGAAGCAGGGTGTCTGCTCGGAGCTCTGACCTCCGAGAGATCATGGAGAAGTTAAGGCTTTCTGGGGTTGAGGCTTTCAACCAAGGAGCGAAGTCGCTGTGCTGGATGTCCCCTGAATTCGGCCGAAACAAGAGAGATCATCGACGTATCCCATCAAAGGCAAACTCACCGACGTCATCGGTCGGCGGATCTCAGTGGGAGGCTGCAGGAAATGTTGTCAGCTGGGAATGGTGTCAAAGCCGGACATGTCATCATTGCCGCGGAGAAGCCTCCCCCAACACCGTCTTCCTCAGGCTGCTTGCAGTTTTCAGTCAACCATTCAACGAAGGAGAGGCTTGAGTGAGCTCGGTGTGACGGTCTTATCCCCCAGCCAGCATGCAGCCGAACCGAGAAAGCGCGAAAAGTTTTGAAGAGATCCCTCGCGTTACCGGTCTGCCCTTCGTCGGAACTTTGTTCTGGTACCTACCGTACATTGGTGCGCGAACTCTAACGTTGCCTGACCTGATGAATGAGTCTCCGAAGGGATGATCCCTTCCTTCTCGAGCCGCCGACGAAACAAACTTTTTTGTCCACGTTCTTCGCCAGGTGTCTACAACCCCTTCAAATTGCATATCGCCAACGAGCGGAAACTACAGAACTACGGACCAATCGTCAGAGAAACCATTATGGGACGGACGTATGTGCTCGTTTACGACCCGGAGGATATCGCTCGAGTTTTCAAAAGTGAATCCAAGTATCCGTACCGGGAAACCCTTCTGTCCCTGAAGGAATATCGTGTCCGCAAACATTCGACAACGTGTGATCCGAACGCTGGGTTGATTGTCACGTAGGTTCCGAAAAACTACTCGAGAGGGACATCCATTTTTCATATCTGTTTGGAAAAACGGCGTTGTCTGTTGCAGCTTCCATTATTCAAGTACGCCGGCCTAGGCCGTGTAAGAAGCAGTGGTCATCGGGAAGAGACGCACTTTAATGAGTTTTGCCGATTTCTTCTCGTATAGATCTATCATGCCTTGGTGACTACTTTAGGACGCTTCCAGGCAAGGCCAAAATTGGCTGAACTGTCGCTCGGTCCTCAACGCTCCGCTCCTGAAATCTGTGTTCATTTCTCCTCATGTGAACACCATGGACGATTTGGCGCTGGGAGTTGTGAAATTATTAGAAGCTCATCCTGAAGAGGACGACGTTCATGAAACGATGTACCTATGGGCTCTCGAGAGTGAGTTGTCATCTCCTTTACGATTCAGATCGAATATTCGAGGTTCAATCATGCGTCTCTTAATTAATCACAAGGGGGGGCGACCTGTGCCACCTGTTGGGAAATCAATGGTCAAATCTAGCCTTAAGTTATTGCGGAGCGGGTCGATTCCGCAATGCGTGGGACTCGTTCCATCCGCCTGGAAGGTTTCACTGCCGAGGAATAATCTGGACAGGGGCGTTGGGCGGAGGAGCTCTTTGCGTGGTCGCACGACAATAGAAATCATCCCAATATCGCATTCCAGATGCTACACGGATCCTCCTCGGCAAACAGCTGGGCGCCCTCGAATCATCACCGTCGCGAGAATGCCAAGAGACGGTTGCGGCTATCCGCAGCGCCAGTCACGCTGTTGGAAGGCTAGAGTTTCCCTATCCTCCTCTGTGGCGTTGGATCGCGACTCACAACTGGAATGAGTTCGAACGAAACGAGGATCTGTTCAGAGAGTGAGTGGAACTCGGATGGATTTGTCGAGACGAGTCGGCTAATGATGCAATCAGCCTCACGCCATCGTCGCTCGTCCAACGAATAGATTTGAATAGCAGCGGAACGCTTTTCAGTTTCATCGTTGACTGCGTTGAGGAACGTCTCTCGAGGCCAGAAAATACACCATCGTCTTGCGATCTGCTTTCGCACATCATCCGGGAGGAACAGATGAAACCGGCGGAGTTAATTACCTCGCTAACGGACCTTGTGTTCGCGGCCGTGGATACCGTTAGTGACATTAACCGATAAATCGATTCTTCGGAGAAACGCTCGAATCGGGAAGACGATCTCTTGCTCCGTCGCCGCTTTTCCGGCGGAAGGGTTCTCTGGAATATTCGCGAGCCATACTCGATTTCCCTGGAGCAGGAGGGAGTCAGACCACAGGTGGAATATGAACCGGTCTGAATTCGAGAACCGAGAATTCTGCTGAAGCTGTTGTGCAATTTTCCGTTACAGACTGCGTTCGCGGCGAGTTTCGCCATGCATTTCCTCGCATTGAACCCCAGAGTGCAGGAGAAAGCCCGTCAGGAGGCTGTCGAATTCGAACACCTGGATCTACACCAGTGCAAGCGGCTCTCCTATTTGCAAGCAGTGATTAAAGAAACGCTCCGTTTGCGTCCAGTAGTTCCTGGAGTTTTCAGGATAAGCAGTCGCGACCTGACATTGAGTGGCTTCAAGGTTCCAGCCGGGGTAAGCGCCCTCAGGGAGAAAGTCTTTCCGATCGTTCTTCCCTTGAACCGATTCTAGCTGCGTCATTTGCCGGGCAACCCATTCAAATGATGATTTCCGGGGGGTATTACGTCAATGGGAAATAATGGAGAGGGTATAGCTCCCGGGTTCTCTCGGGTGGTGCACAGACATTCGAGTAGATCTGCAATCTCCGATTGCTCCACGTGTATGTCACCAGATTGGAAAGCGGAGCGACGCAACGTCTTCCTCGAGAGTAAGCCTCCAGCCGGAGCGCTAGGCAGTCCAGTCGACCGTTTCAATGGTGCACTGCCTCCATCAAATCAGCTGCTACGATTTGATGCCTCTCAGTCGCTCGTCTGATTGAGGACATTGCGAAACGAGATGGGGGAACGTAACCTTCCGGGCTGTGGGGACGGCCTGAGTCGACTGTTTCTTTGTCGTTCTCGCGGTCGCTTGCAGTCTTAACCCCGGTGACCGTTGGAGTCAGCTTGTCAGATATCAGAAGCGCTCGCCGAGGTGGCGGACGACGGGTATGTTCCTGCTCGAGGTTTTCCTTCAGCCAAATCCAGAAGGAATATGAGCGGATTTCGATTGATGTTTGTTCAGGGTGGAGCCTACCTGAATAAATCTCTCGGATTTCTCTGCACGGCACTCGTGGAATTCTCTCCGATGCGAGTCCGAACGTCGAATCCGGTTATCCGCGGTCAGAGCCGCTCCGAGCCTGTCTGCGTTTCGGAAAGCCTATTCGCGGAAGAAGACCTTCGGCTGAGAGCTCCCGCGAGACACAAAAGGAGCTCAGACCCTGAACGGTGGGCAGCTCGATAAAGACGAATTTATTCGACTATATCAGGCCGGCCTCCAAGTCATTTGCATGAAAGACGCATACACATTGCAACACTCCAGATTTCAATGAATTCACTGACGAAAAGTTGAGCATGCACGAGAGCATGCAATATCTTGACCTCTCCGCTAGAGGGTCCATTTGAACTTTTCTTGGGAGGCTCCCGATGGACGCGAATGTGCATCTCCATGAATCGTAGGAAAAGCGTCATAGCACGCTGTTGCACGACGATCGACTTCGGAAAAAAAAGTGAAAAGGATGGGATAGTCAATGAGCGAAGCTTCGAATCGAGTGCCTCTGGGCTACCACCCGGCTCGCGAATCTATAGCAGGGGTTGACGTATATTATCATCCTCGCAGACAAAAATCTTCACTCAGAACCACGTCGCATGCTTGTCGGAGACTAACTTCCCACGAGCGAGGGAGTTCCTGCCCGAAAGGTGGGCGATGCCCACATCTCCCTCGGCGGAATTCGCTTCACTCCCGTTCGGATCCGGAAAAAGAGCGTGCATCGGCCGTCGCTTAGCTGAAACGACCTTACTGGTGTTCCTGGTCAGGGTGAGTTTTCGGATATTCCCTGGAGAAATGCCAGGTGGCTCCACGGAAAGATTCCGTATCGCGTTTGACAGCTTTCCTCTATCGTATAGCTGCTGCAGACCCACGTTCTGGACACCGATGACAAAGAAATCGATATCGTCACCAGTGTGGTCAGCTCACCGGAAAATCCGATCCGTATCAAATTCAGACCGCTCCAATGAAACAGAGATCCAAAACGAGGTTTCTCACACGGCAGGGCGCTAACGCACGTCGAAACCCTAGTCGGAGACCTCTCCTACAACATCGGAATTCCAGCTGATTCAAAAACGAGAATGATATCGTATGTCGATTCGGCTAGGGTCCAGAATATGAGTGGAATCAATTTGACTTCGAAGGAGCGTGAGTGACCATACTGTCGCCTTACTCACTGGAGATGTTTCGCTGAGGGGGAAGTCTCGATGACGCAAACGGAACACCGCAGAGCGAGCGCTCTTTCGGAGAAGATACTGAGAAGCAGCCGACATCAAAATAAAATCATATTCCGAAACTTTGCCTGCCGCTCGAGAAGCCATTTATTCCGTTCGCTAGTCGTTGCACATTCCTTCCGACCTCTGTAGGACACACGCAGCTTCTTCCTATCGAAACTAGCGATTCGCCGCAATCGCGACGCCACCGCCGAGGTCGCGCACAAGCGTCCCTCAGTTGAAGCCTTCCGATCAGGAGTCCTCTTTTCGCACAAGAAAGCCTGTTCAGGGTCCCCGACGGGGCAAAAACCTCGAAAATCCCATTCCCCGAGTGCTTCATGGACTTTCCGAGAAGTATGCGAGCGGAAATCGGAATAATTTGCCGTCCCATACGGTCAAACTCTCGATGACGAATCTCCGCTCCTTGTCCCTTTGACGCTGTCTTTCCTCGACATGACACCCACTCCACAAACATGTTCAGGCACGACGGCTGCGAATACCAGCCAGCTGTGTCGTAAGCCCTCGTCTGAGGGGATTTAGCAGAATGAGCTGGGACTGGGGAACACGGAGCACAAAAGCAAGCGGGCTCGAGATGAACCCTGGTAGATGCTGGGAAGGCGATCCTTCTTGGGGTCCCGAGCAGTTCCGCTTCTTGATCGCTTTGTCAAAGGGCAAGATCGACATCGATTCACCGCACAAACAGCGCTGGTGGGGCGGAGGGAGACAATCGGAGGTGTTCAATCCTGAATGGGATCCATAGCTCTGGATCATTCTCCGAAAGTTTCTGCGTGATGCTGGCAGAGTAGCATCCTCAGTGGTACCCGTGGATCGAGCCACCGAAGAAGCCAAGCTCGTAAACATGCCCGTCTAGAGTCTGACAGGTGAAGATTTGTGCCCGATCCACTGCTTCACTCAAATTCTGAAAAGTCGAGCATCGTTCCTACGGTATGACGTGATTGACGCGCAAGGTTGGAAAGTCTGCTATGACGCTTGATTTACCGCTCTTTTTGGGAATGAGATTCGGTGATACGGCATATTCTACATGGCTGCCTTGGGTATCTCCCCAAAGAAGTGAGCTCAAGGAAAAAATGCTCTGCTTTACGGAACGGTACAAGAAAAATTTCATTTTTGACAAGCTGTAGAGTTTCATGACTCGTTCATGTTTGTACTGATGACGTCGTTTGTCGTAGGATATGAGAAGGAGAAGTACGGAGGCAGCTGAATGTTCGAAACCTCTGGCCGGACCTTCGTTGCGAATAAACTTCAAGAAATCAGTTCGTAGACTAGCTCGTCCCTCGAGATGAGAAGGTGTCGCCAGGGATTCCCGTCCAAAGTCGAGCTTCCGGAAGTCTCTGCCTGTCTACACTTGGGTTCAAGTCACAAATTCGGAGCTAAGGAGTTTAATAGTCCGCGGATATTCGTCCGCTCTCTGCCTGCCGCGAGCAGCTTTACCAGAGCACAGGTTTGAACTTCGCTCTAAATCAGGTATTCGAAGTTTGCGGAAGCTGCTGCAGTTCTCTACCCTTGGAGCGTTTTATGCGACCGATAGTGAGATTCTCGTGACATTCAGATCGATGCTCTCCTCGAAAGAGAGGGCGCGAAGCAGAGGCGTGCAACCCCTTCACGGCGCCCGGGGCGGTCAACAAAAATTTCGAATTTTTGTACGCGATCAACCAAAATGCCGCCCCCTGTCCGAAAGTTTTCCGAGAGAAATTCCGAAAATTTTGACGGAAATAGCCGTTTTTTTAGACGTCGAGCCCGGAAACGCCGCCTCCTCGATAGCGCCGCCCGGAGCACGCCACTGACGCGAAATGATTCACTTCCATATCGACGGGTATGCATCGACTACACGTTGGTGGGTTGCGAGAACACCGCTTTCTCCATGTGAGATGAAGGGCGACAGCACGCTCTGGTTGATCACTTCATAGAATGGAAACTTCACTTGCTCCCGAAATGACCAGGAACTCGGTCTACGTCCGGTCCGAAAGCTTCGGAGTGCCCATCCTCGAAAAGGAACGCGAATCTCATAGACTAGTCCCGATGAGGCCTATCACCGGCAGCGTCACACACCTAGGTCGAGGAGAAAAAGGTCTTCACATCAAAGTCTCAGCACATGGTTTATTCACTTCCTCTGTTGAGCTTTGAGTACTCGGGCGACAATCTTCTGCTCTTCAATGAGGAAAGCACGGATGATGCGGTTACGGACACACTTTCCGCAGCGGGATCCACCGTACGCACGAGTGACGTGCTTTTGTCGCTGAGTCTGACGCGATCGTTCCACTGGGCGGGCTCCTTCGACTCCAAGGAGTTTTTCCTTACAGTCGCCGCATTTGGGGACCGTGCGCCGCTTACCCAAGTAAAGGTACACTAAACGGCCGCCGGGAGTCTTGGACCTGGAATTCAAGCTCAGTATTAGCCACGTGAAGGTTCCGTCACTAATGGAAGGAGCGAGGCTCACACGGTAAAGCATCGTATATCGTATAATGATATAACGGAGTGTCACTCGTCTGAGGAAGCTCTCCACACGGAAACATGGGGAGCGGTCACTGTGACGAATCTCGGTTTTGGAAGCTTCTAAAATCAGGGGATCATGTACGACTTCGCGCCTGACCTTTAACTCTTCCGAAAAACTAGGGAACAAGAAGATAACGCGACTTTTGCTTCACCGAAACGATCTCTGCCGAACGATGAATGCTCCAGGAGTAATTGTAGCAGTGACAGTGAGATTACTGATAATTAAAATCAGGAATCTTGGAATAAACATGTGTATGCAACTGGTCTAGGGTCTCTCTGACACAGTCCACCTATGGGAATTCTCAGGTGGCCTGCAACGCCGAACCCATGGGACGGCGCCTCCCGATTCCGAGCAAGACATGCCTTTAAATGTTGCAACAACTCGCTGCTGCAGAGAGTGCGATACTCGATACTCTACAGTTGGAAGCACGGAAAGCGTCGCAACTCTTGTGTTTTCGAACGCGTGCATCCATCGAATAGGTAGTCGGAAAGAGCTCTGTACAAGCGTTTTCAGCAATCGGAGAATCGTCACAACCATGTCTTCTGAGTCTGACCGAGCTAGGCTCCTTTCCTGAGGAACTGTCCTATCATGCGACTCGACACATTTCAGAGAAAGCGATAAATTAGAGCGAAGGAGGCTTACACTCGTCTCTTGTTGGACGCGGTGTTGTAGGGAAGTCTACGACGCAGAACCAGTCGCTGAACCATTTTTATGCCTGGGAATATTCGAGGACACTTTCAATTAATTTCTCGATATGATATTGACACGATTTGAGGGCAAATAATCACTGATTTCCTCGGATCGCTTCTAAAACCGCACACGCACCGTTTCACGGAATGGCCGAAAGGGTGAGCGATAGAAACCGAAACCACTGCCTCGATTCATTTTGGTTCTTTTGTGGGACCAAAGTGAATCCGGACCCGGACCGAAATTCATATTCCTCCTCGGGCACGGAATGTCGATCGAATTCGGAATGCAGTTCTCTTCCCTATTCGATTCCTGATGAGGCTCTTGGAGGCGCATTGATCGGATCTCGGTCCTTACGTCAGGGAGACATAACGAGCTGCGAGCGAGCGAGGAGAGCCTATAACATCAACAAGCACCCGGCGATCATCTTTTGGAGAATCCTCTTCTACTCGCTCATCCGAATACTCGAGGTCTCGCGCCTTCTGAGGAGTTAGCAATAGCAAAATAGGTTATGCTATTTCGGCGAGGAGGAAATAGAATAACCTCCCACTGAAACGGAACAGAGCTCATCGATGATGTAGGTGTGGTGATCGGTGATACTAATGATGATGATCTCTGCTGGAGGATAGGGAGAGACCGGGCGCCTCCTCTCGCCTGACTTCCGAATTCCGAACAACAACTTATTTGGTGATCGAGAATCGGGAGAGAGCTGATTTTGCATCCTGCTGTATCGCGCCGAGGGGCTCGTAGCACGCAGTCGCAGGCGATACGACCGCCTCCTGCGCTGCATCACGGATATCTTCTCGAAGAAGAGGACGCCGGGTGTAACGCCGACATTGGACAAGAACTCCGACTACGACGAGTCCGCGGGTCCCGCTCCCCTCGCGATGATCCGGAGCATCCGCGCCATTATCCGCAAGGGCTGGATGCGAGTGCAACACATACCGGTGCAGAAGGTATCGAGCTGTTCGGGTTCGGAGTTACGCATTCTCACAACTAGTTGGAAAGGAGACAGCTCACTCGGACTTGATCCTCGGTGAACTCGTAATAGTTTCTAGATGTCGCAATCCGCCTCTGGGGTGCTACCGCTCTTGGCTCTCTCACTTCGACGGGAATGATGAATCAGCTCTCATCGTCTCCATGGCACGGAGAAGTAGACTCTGGGGTAGATTTTCTATGAGCTCTGCCCCATCGCTCCAAAAAGCATTTTCAGGACAGACATCTATCTTATTCCTCCATCTGCCCTCTCCTGAGACGATGATCAACCTCGAGCAAGCCTAACTATGACCGTACTAGATGCCCGACCGGGGGGCGCTTATTTTCCTCCGTAAACTTCAGGCCCTGGCTAAATAGGCCCGACGGCCGAAGATTTTCCAATCGGCATCCTCCGGATCGACGCTCGTTCAGTAAGGAGGCTTCGGATAAGGATCTTCCGGCTAATCCTGCGATTGTATGATTCCAGAGCGATCCCCATTTCTGATAGAGCGTACTGGAGTCGCTCCCGGAAGACGGAGAAGTGCGATTCCCAGACTCCATTGGGACTTGGGAGACATTATCGGACGGAGTCGCGAGTTATCGCGGATTCGGGCAAAGTAGATCGATCGGGGGGCTGTGATCTCCGCTAATTTATCCGGAGTCTGTCACCAGGGGGCTCCGAACACCAAGCCGATCTGAATGTTTGTAGCAGGCGAGTCAGCTCACGCCATGCTTTGCGCCGTTAGTGAGCGCTCCGTAGATAACCGGCTGCGGGAGCCCTCGGAGGAACGTCGTCGTGGTCCGTCGGGGAGCACTCTACCACTGATTTTGAGGGAGACCCGATCTCGATCAATAGGTGATATTCAGGTCCGGGGTCTGGTTCACCCTCGAAGGTGCTATTAGTTCGCGACTGATTCTTGCTCATGGATTTACCCACAACAGGAGACCGTCTCGAGATTCTAATCGTGACTACAGTCCTTGAAGTCTCAAGCAGCAGCGAGCACGTTCTAGTTCCCGTCAGCTTTATCAGTTATGCATGGCGTCTGCTGTGAGACGGAAGTTTCAGACGTAATCGTCAATCTCGTCTTTCTTTTCCAATCACACAGTATTGGATGTACATATGTATTCCTAGCAGAACGGTGGAACATGATAGCCCACGGTGTACTGCACTCGATCAGCCAACTCTGAGTGATAGTTTCGCTGGAGAGTTTTCCAGAATGTCCAGCGATCAGCCACGGGGGATCACGTTGTTCTAGCCCTTGACGAGGGTAATTCGTGAGCGAAGCTCCCTCCGGAACTCTCATTGAAATAACATTCTAGGGCGATTCCATTCGTGATGATGGGGGGGATCCACCGTTTCTGATCCATGCATGCCAAGGGTCCTCCGGAAAGGTGGGAGGAATTCTAACCAAAATCGGCCCAATAGTGGGAAGCCTAGAGACCCTCAGCTTCCGGAAAAAATCCGCCCAGAGTATTCATTGACTCACTTTGCCTTATCTATACTTTTATACTCATACCTAGAATATAAATCCGTATATGATATCCTCGGTATACAACGACATGAATACGTTAGTAGAAGGGTTCGTCGATTTCGCAGTCATGAATGAAATCGGTGCCGATATACTTATGTATCGACCGCGGACAGTGAAATCGCCTTACAGCACGATTGGAGAGCGTGTATCAATGACAAAGAAGGGCGACATCTCCCCAGTTTCACGTATCACTAGAGGAAGCATCTGGGAGCTGCGAAGACTTGTGTACCGCAGCCCCGTCATGCCTTAGAGCGGGATTTCAATAGACGCTCCAGCCCTAACCCTGGGCTGGCGCCAACGACGTCAAACGCATGAATTTTTTTATTTGTTTCAAGTTAAGACATGGAACAGTCCCGTCCAGGGAAAGCCACCGCCCTCTCTCATCTCGTCTCACTCATCATTACGATGATCAGTATTCTCAGAATGAAATATGGCCAATTCATCGCGGCTGACAGTGGCGGCAGGAAGCTGCCCTCGTCGGCCAACAAAATTTCGATCTGCAGGATGTCGAGAGTTGATACGATGGACGTTTCCTCGATCAATGGATGCCGTTATATCATAGACTGCGAGCCATCCAGCATTCGATGGATGACATGTGTGAGGGTTTCTTGATCGTCGAGATCTCGGTAATTAATTTCAAGCCGGCTTCGACATGTTGACGTCTCAACGTCACGACGCGAGGAGCCGTAATCAGAAATTTTGGAAGATCGATCTCATTATCTCCCGAACATTGATTTTTTGCTTCGTGCAGTCGCTTCGGAATGTTTGTGCACGGCTCTATGCTGTCTCACTGTCTCCCAGTCGTCGACCGACTACAAATTCCTGATCAAGTTGAATCGTCGCCGTAGCCGAATTATTCTCATTCTCGACGCCGCAACGTCCCACTGATAATGAGAATTGTCTCCAGCCGTTGGGGACTTATTTGCTCGTACTGGACTATATCCGCCGAAATTCCGCATGATAAGAAGCGTAATCAATAGCTTCGGAGCGGGCTGGCTTATGCCGGACTCACAGAAAGGAAGAGTGGCGGTATGCTCATCTTTCGGGCTGGGATTCGGCGGACACGGGAGTTCCGGCGCTGCGCATCAAGTTTGCCCGCCTGGAGTAAGGAAATCGAATGAAACGAAAGTGCCTCGTCCGCGATAGCCGGCTTAGAAAAAGATCAAAAGCATACCCAAAAACACGATGGTGAACATCAATCCGGCCTGATATGTCTTTGACGAGAGCTAGTCCATTTGGTTGGGCCGAAGCTTATGGATTCGAATATCGCAGTCTGGGGATACATTTGGTACGTTCACGACGAACAAAAAATTGTGGGAGGCTCGATTCTGACCGGCCAGTCGCTGCCAGTCCATGCTTGACCCAAGCGAGAAAAGACGGCGTAAACTATCTTTCCGCACAACTTGTTTCATGCGCGTCGATCAATCAAGATGAATATCCCTCGCCTTCCAAGCCGCGCGCTGCAGGGAGTTGTGATGAGCCTTCGCCCTCGAAATCTCTTCCGACTTCGAGTAGACTCCAATACGGCTTTTACGAGCCGAACAAAAATTCGCAGTAGACTCCCAGAAAAGCCTTTCTGCGCGTTGCCCTCTTGGTCCTTCCCCTGGAAATTCCTTGTGATCTGCGAATGTGGCCTCTTTCTCTTATAGAAGTAGAGCCACATTATTTCTCAGTGTCAGGCGTAGATCTCAGACGGTGGACTAGGACGCTCTTCAACCGAGAAGTCGGAATGGAAGATACATGCATTGAGAAATTCCGTCCGCTCGAGCAAAGGAAACCTGTTGAAGGCCATCTGAGTCCGTAATCGTTCGGCGTTCGGAGCCGGCCGTCCTCTCCGCGCGAACAATCGGCCTTCCTTGCCCTCGCGATTTAAGTATCGTATCTCGTATCACACTATGAAGCAGCTCCAAGCAACATTAGTATCGAAGACAGACACTTCCTGACGGAGATAGATCGCGACTCCTCTGCTACAAAAACGAGAACATTGTGAAGCAGTCCCGTTCATGACAAACCCGTTCTGGCTCAAATTAGGATTTTTCTTGGCGTTAACTACCTCGAAGGGTGTGAATGCGAAATGATTTATATTGCATTGTGATGCTTCACGTAAGCCAAGCGCGAACGCTAAAACGGATCGGTTCTTGCTAAGTAATTAGTTAGTTCTGGTATCACCATCCGAGTTTCTCTCAATTTCGATGACTAAATGTGACTGAGAAAGCAATAAGAGAGATCCTTAGCTCCCGCAAGCCAGACGCGACGGTGCGGTGTAGTCTCCGCGACGACTCTTCCAAAACTCGTTAAATTATGTCAGTGCCCATTCCGCCTGGGGTTCTTGGAGCAGCTCGTCCGACTCGACTCTTCGGCTGCATTGTAGAAAGCGGCGCGGTCCCGGCTTCCATGAGCCCTGTGTGGGGAATAATTAATTTGAAATTCTAATGATGTAGATGACGTCGTCTGCGGCTCCGCTATTGCACGCGTGGTGTTCAAATTCAATAACGAACCGATGGCTATCGCCTGATTCCGACGTCGAGACCCATCCCGAAAACAAAGCCCTCTCGAAGTCAAAAGCCAGCCCTTTACACTAGAAAGGAAAATTGAGAAACCGCGAGCCCCCGTCGTATAACCTTGGCAATCGGTCATCGGTTTCAGGGGGATATAGTGAAACAAATCCAAAATAGCTTCGGAAAGATATTCCAGTCTATCTTCGG